TTGGCATCCTCTTATGCCTCCTGCCCTAGGTCACCTCCCCTAAGTTGCCCATTCTGAAAGGCACCAATGGAACTGAGCCCTGAAACAGGTCCCAACTCAACTGGGGCATCCTGGCTTCCCTCTGCCATCTCCAGGAAGGAAGTAGACTGATTGAGGAGAATTCGTGGGATCTGATTCTGGGGGTGGAGATGCTTAATGATGGGAGAGGCACACCCAAATTCATTTAGTGAAAATGTACTCATGAAAAAAACACTTGGTAGTTTGGTGAACCCTGGTCGTGTTTGTAATAGTCAAGCATTATTCTTATTGTGGTTGTCACACTCATCTACTGACGCCAGGTTTGCTCCATGACACTCGAGTATTACCCACCCCTAATTCAGTTCAGCCTGTGTTTATGGAGCCCTGCCCCCAGACTAGGCGAATTTGCTTACACTGGATGACTAGCTCCTTTACACAAAATGTCATCTGCTACTATTCTAGCATTTAAGATGCTTCTTCATGCATCTGAGAGGAATCTTTTAATCCAGCCATTAATATTAGTTTAGCCCAAGAAAGATTTGTTTACAGAACTTGACAAAATTTTAAAAACAAAGAAGCCCCATCAGATCAGAAATGGTTATTGATGTAGGTTTGTTGGCCATCTTCACAAACCACATGGCCAGGCCCTATAGAAATCCATCATTAAGAATGCCAATCATTTAAAGAAGCTCAAATCCAAAGCCACGTTGGGAACAGTGTTAGTTACAGTCATAGCGTAACTTTCCTAAATATTCTCCACTGTAAATAGATCATTTATCTTCGGGATCCTTAGGCTGGTGAGGCATCCTGGGCTGGACATAACATATGATGTCTAAAATGGATATCTGCATCATTTTGCCATCCCTTAGCTTGCCAAATTGTGTGGCTTCAGTGTAAAAGACTTGGTTTAGAGTTTCTGCCATCCCTCAGCCTTTGTTGCCTTGACCACGTGCAGCCAGCATCTAGTGATGCTGCAACACTGGGATGTTTTAAGTGAGAATCATCTCTTTCTATCCCAGTCCCCAGGCTAAGCCTCTCTCCTGGCCCAGTGAGAACCCCTCCAGCATCCCCTCCACTGTGTGACCAGGAGGACATCCTGCTGGCTGAGCCCTGCCTGTCATCAAGGAGCAGAAGCTGAAATACTCCAGCCCCTGCTCTCTGCACCCCAACACCTTCATCTTAGTGAGCATTAGCGCCAGAGACCTGGGTCACATCCTGGGCAAATCACTTTCTTGCTGTGGGATGTCAGGCATGCGACTTAAGGAAATTGAGGTTAGGAGAGGTTATCTGCAGAGATGCAGATTGTAGGAACATAGGGTTGTTTGAGGATTAGGTGAGATTCCAGGGGCCCTAGAGCACTTTACATCTGTTACCTACTGGTTTATATATATATCACATGAATCCTACCATTTAATAATGCTTGCAATGGCCCAGACCCTTTACTAGGCCCTTCACATGTATTATCTATTTAAATAAATCCTCAAGATAACCTCATGAATCAGGTACTAGCTCCAGCCCCTCCAAGACTCTGACTTTATAGTTGTAAAATGCAGAATTGGTACCTTGCCTAAGACTATTTAGTTATTTAGTGTCTGAGCTGAGCTAACACAGAGCTATCAAAGTACAAATCTCACATAGTAGATTTGTAGGTGTCATGGAATCTGGCAGAGATAATTTTGGACGAGGATCTTTTTGGCATCCTTTAAATTGTGCACCGTGAATAACCATCACTCTGTATCCAAGGAGAGCACACCCAGCTCCCAGTCTTAGAATATTTTCAATTGTATTTTCAATCATCGAGGATACAACAAATTCTGCTTCTCTTCTCCCTGCAATAACACCCTTCCCCAACTACAGTCCCTGGAATTTTCAAAAGTCTGGATAATATTTCTGGAAAGTAAATTTTCCCTTTTCACCATCCATCCCTTGTGCTCCTTCAGGGGCCCCCGTGCTCCCTCAGACACAGGCTCATGGGAGCTGATCTTCTAATGCAGATGCTGAGTTAGAGAGGTGACTTCTCCCCATCCATCAACTCTAACTGCATTCAAACATGTTCAATATGTGGGCTTCTTGATAACTTCCACTGTATGGAAAACAAAATGGAGGGAAGTGATTATTGGCACAAAGGGGGGAAGTCATAAATCTTCAAATCAGATATAGGACAGATTGGAACAATATGGGTTCTCCAAGGTTGCCATGATAATGTACCTAATAACTCTCCTTGGGCAAAAAGGCAATCTGCTTTCAATCAATCTCGCTTTTCCTGAGCAGAAATACCAATTATGTTGAAGGAAGATTTTTTTTCTTCCTTTTTGATAAAGGCTGCTCTCCACCCCAGAAATCATGCTGTAGCTAAAAGATATATATTCTCAATTGTCTAGAATGGTATTGGACAGCTAGCATCAAATGAGAAAAGTCAATCCTTTTTTTCTCTCCTCTTCTCCCTGCATTTGTCTACTTCTTAAGAGAAGTGAAAGCTAATTAAAGGCTTAAGGGATAATATTGATTGCACTGGAATATATTTTATATGTACCCAGCATATTTTCAACTAGGAGAACCCTGACTCTTTCTAAAGCTGAATAAATCAGCTGGCGGGGCCTTTGATTCGAGGGTGAGAGGGTGAACTCATCTCCTTCCCTTCCACTTCTCACACATCTGTCCTGGAGATGAATGATTTCAGAACAGGGAGAGGAATGCTGGCAGATGTTCATTCAGTCCTTTGCGCACAGGATGGGAAGGATGAATGTTCAGGCATTTCCCTGGACCTATCATTGATTTGAGTCCAGCTTTGAGTAATCACCGGGCTTCTACTGATATAGAACTTTGAGCTCTGCCGTGCCTGGGGCAGGAAGCTGGCCCTCTCAGCTCTCTCATCTATTGAATGGGGATAAGGAGGTTGCCCAGGGTCACACACATCCTTGGTGGCAGGGCAAGGGATCCAGTCTGGCTTATTCTCACATCCAGGTGAGGGGGAGGGCCCCAAGCCCATATCTGTCCTGTGGAGGTGCCCATACATCGGATTCACGCTGGCCTTGTTCGCAGTCATGGGAGTCTGTGGGCAGAAGGCATTAGAATTGCCCCCATGCAGACCTAGGTGTCAGGTCAGGAGGGAGATCCTGCGTCTCGGGTCACTTTCTGCACACACCTGACAAATTCAGAATCAGAAATCTTATGCAAAACATGCAAATTCATTTGCAGCCTGTTTTGTCCATGTAAGTGCACATGTGCTACAAGAAATATTTTAAGAGATGACAGGATAAAAATGTGTGTAATCCAAGTGTTCTGTTCACATCCCGTGTTCTGACACAGGGTGTATTTCAGGAGGGAGTTAGTTATGTGGGTGTGGGGCATTTGGATGGGTGGCCAAGGGACCTCCCTGAACCTGGCTGGTACTGGCTAGAGAACAAAGTGATCGGGTTGGAACGTCTCTTCTGAGGCAGCGCATGGACAGTCTTTCCTCCCCGTGATGGCCTTTGCTTGCCCGGCCACTGAGTGCGGCACCGTAACAATAACAGTCCATAATGGTGATATTATTAACTGCATTGTGCATATTATTGATTTACTCTTTGTTCTGCATCATTATCCTTTCACCAATGAGTTTACTGCCTTATTCTCACATACTTAGTCAAGCACCAAATTACAACGAAAGGGCAGGCTCTTGTAATGGCATCTAATGGAACATTGCATAAGTGATCATCACTTCCTCCCATTATGAGCTGCCTCCAGCCAATGAGGTTTCTGCCTTATTGGAATGTGCACTGAGCAATTATGAGGTGCAAGGGGCTTAACCCTTCTAAATTTTTTCCCACGAAATTATCGTGCTTCGGTGTTTGCCACCTGCCCATGCCTCAGAGCCGGGCCAGGGATTCAGCCTCTGTCCCTAGCAGCCCGGGAGGCACGGGGACCTGGGCTGAGCCCCTTGCTGCTGTCTTCCTTTAGAAACCAGCAGGTTTCCTCTCCACAGTCAGGCCCTGGCTTTGGGTCGTGGGGCTAACCCTTGCACCAAAGGACTTAGTCCTGATGGAGCATCAGATAGCAAATGTCAATGGCCACAAGGTAGCCAGATTGGTTCAGATTTATCAGATGGGTCCAGGAGCCCAAAGATGTCAGGGAGATGGTTGTCCCAGCAGTTCTGGAAAAGAGGCTCATCTCCTCAGGGGAAGCCACCATCTCCAGAAACAGAAGTCCAAACGTCGCTGGATCAAGGCAAACCATTCCAGCCTCTTCCCTTCAAGACCCCATCTTGAAGTAAAATGCTTTGGCTCTCGTGGAAATCCTGGGCACCCTAGGGAAACAGCTATCTGGGGATGCACAGCCTGCAGCATGATCTCCGATTCCATAGGCATCCCATCCCCATTTAGCCCTGAGTAATGCTCACTTACTGTAAAGTGTTACATGCCCCCATTGTCGGAGGAGTTATGGCGGAAAAATGCAAAATTTCCTTTTTACTGCTTATGGCCAGCAGAGCCCATAACGTGTCAAGCTGCACATTAGCCACCCTGATAAAAGTCCGCTTTCTTACACACAAAATCATCGTTTCAGCAAGATTTGTTATCTCATTACCTGATAAGCTCTATGTCATAAACCAAGACTCATTCGGTAAATCTCTCAAGAGGACGCTTTGTGGGCAGAAAGGGAAAGATATGAATCTGCAAGGGACTTGATAATGCAGCATTTAAGCACAAGCATAATGTCACTTATTGTTCAATGCATAAAACCACTTGGCCAAACGGTTGGGCTTTTAATAGGATTTTGTGCAGCATCAGGTGAGAAGCCATATGCCTTTTCTGCCGAGGAGTCTCTGAGCACCTGCCAGCACCACTGCTTTGCCTCACGGCCCTTTGGGGATGGGGCTGGGCTTTAATTGAGGCCTTGGGAGGAGATGAATGCTTCCCTGCAGCTGTGCGCTTCCTCTGTCTTGCCTGGGGTGGGTGCCGGGTCAACGCGGGGCTGGCCCCATCTAACTGGCTTCTCCTGTTCAGGCACATTGTGGTCTGCGGACACATCACTCTGGAGAGTGTTTCCAACTTCCTGAAGGACTTCCTGCACAAGGACCGGGATGATGTCAATGTGGAAATCGTCTTTCTTCACAAGTAAGGGGCCGCTGCTGTTTTGAGATCCTCCACCCAACCAGGCACCCTGAGGAGGACTCCCTGAGTGTCTGTAGGAGTGGTGGTGTGGGGGGCCGTGTTGGGGCGCAGTGCAGAGTTGAATTGGCCATGGCCCCAGGTGGCCTCCTTGGAGAGGACAATATGGAACCAATGGAAAGTGAACCAACCCATTAGTTCATGGTGAGAACGGCACCTGCTTCTGTGGAGGCAATTCTGGCAAGTAAGAGTGAAGTTCATTATGGGTCAAACACATCATTACTGTCCCATCAGCTGCCTGGATCGATTCGATCCAGGTGTGTCCACAGTGTCTGGTGTGGAATGATTAGCTGTCTGGTGTGGATTCTTTACAAGGGCAGGAGCCACAGAGTGGCCATGCAAGACACAAATGTAAGAGGAAGCAGGGTATAAAGTACTAATCATAGCTGCAACAACAATTGCCATTTCTAGAAACCTCAGTGTAGGAACCTGTGCTGGTCCCCGGGCATACGATCTCTCCTTTCGTCAACACAGGGAGTCAAAGTACAAGTATTCCATATGACTCTTGCCCAAGAAGTTATTTAGCCTCCCTGGGCCCTAGTTTTCACATTCATAAGATAGGGAGATCACAATGGTTTCATTTTACCATGCAGGGGGAATGAAAAGACATAATCCATGTAAAGTACACAGAGCAGAATCAGGCACACAGTAAGTGCTCAATAAATGTTAGCTATTGTGAAAGATAAAATATATTGGGTTGACAAGCAACTTAGAAGACAGGTCTTACTATGTTTGCTGGACAGTTGAAAGCAAGACCTCTCCTTCTGCTCAACGTTGTTGGGATTTTAAGCTTCGTCTGATCCCCTTTTAGGTAAAAGTTAGTCTGCCGCAGGGCTAGCGTCTAGGGACTCAGGAATGTTGACTTGGGTGGCACTGTCTTCTTTTTTGTTGGAAATGAGGCCACCATAGGGCCAGCACTAGCCCCAAGTTACTAAGGGACAAAGTTTACGAGTTGGTGTTGGCTCCACAGGGGGTTGATGGCCCAGGCCTCAATCCTGCTCCAAGATCCCATGGAAGTTGACTTCCCTATAAGTTTCTGTTCTGTGCATCTCCTTCCTTTTGACGTTTGTTCCTAGAGTACCAAAATGGCCACCATGTCTGAGCACCAGCATTTTGCTTCTCAGCACTGAATTCTCCCAGTTCTGAAAAGACCAGCCAGGCCATCAGCACAGGAGCAGAACTCACAGATACAATTCAGTGCTTAGCCTCTCATTACCAGCCGAGGGGCCCGTCCTCTGCAGAGCATTATGGAAGGTTCAAGAGAAGTAGCGTGCGTAGGTTCTGCCCTCATATTGGTTGGGCATTTCAAGATGAGCACGTGTGCAACAATTAGAGCTCAACATCTAACCTATATTCACTGACTGAAGTCGGTTTAGTCAAGAGCTAGAACTGCACCAGGCATTTGTGTCAGGGAGAGACCACCATTTCTTGCATGACCAGGCAGACTTCCCAAGAGGAGCCCGACCAGTAATGGATCTCAAAGACTGGTCGGATTTGCACAGGCTCTGTTTCTCTTTCACCCACTGCTTGAGTCTGATCAACAAGCTGGCGGCTAATGCATCACTTGCTGGGATTCACCTTCGTATCCCCAGCATCTGTCAGTGTCAGCACTGTAGTAGATGGCCCAGTTAATTAACCTCTTTAAGCTTTGGGTTAATAACATCCCTTCCTCCCGGGTTGTTTTGAGGTTTAAATGAGTTAATACTTGTCAAGTGCTTGGAATGGTGTCTGCCACATAATAAGTTCTGGAAAACATTAACAATTCATACTAAACACTTAATGAATGTTAGGCAAGCATTGACTAACACAGTTCTTGGTACCTAGTAGGTTCAAACCAAATATCATCTCCCGGCACCTAGCCTAAGACCTATAGAGAGTAGATATCTTTCATCTCTACAGAACTAATAAATGGATGAATAGGTCAATCAGTGTTTTAATCCTTGTCCACCAATGGGAAAGATGTCTGTACAGCTCAGCACTAAGAATGATGAGGAGTGTACGCATGTGTGAATCAAGAACAGTACCGAGAGTAAATTATCTCTGTCTGTGGCTGCTCAGAGGTGACATGTTTTGATCCAGGCCCTGGGGGATGAGAAGTCCATGTGGCTGAGAAGCAGGGAAGAGGCTTTGAGGGAGGGAACGGCAGGAGGCTCTGCCAGGGGCACCTTTGGCTAATCTCTGATGTCACAGTTCAGTCTCTATTCATAAAATAGAGATCCCATTGCTAACAAAGTTGAAGACATTTCGCCTCATTGGCCTCATCAGACTTTGTGAAGACCGTGAGCCTCTTTATTTTACCTCAGTACTGGTTTGGGTTTTCAGGGGACTGGGGTTTTATTTCTTTGGAGTGTGAACCTTTTATTTCTGGCAAGAAAGGGCGCTGCCTTGAAGGTGAAAGACTTTTCCTAGGTCTTTCTCTTTGGAAGTTGGAGAGAAAGGCGGCCATGGAAGCAGGAATACCTGAGTCTCTTTTATTAATGGCTGTTTCTTCTCTCCCTGCCAGCATTTCCCCTAACCTGGAGCTTGAGGCTCTGTTCAAACGACATTTTACTCAGGTGGAATTTTATCAGGGTTCAGTCCTCAATCCGCATGATCTCGCAAGAGTCAAGGTAAGAAGGAAGAGGGGACTTCCGCTTTTACTCCATCTCAGAGGGAGATTGACTCCTGTGGTGAGGCCATATGCCTCCTAAGATGGCCAAGAGTCACCTCCACACCCCTAATAAGATAAGTCAGATGCCACCAGCCTTGACATCACCCTTCCACTGGTCCCAGAGCTTCGTTCCGCTGGCACTTGCTAGACCACTTCCCTCACTTGGACGAGTCATAAAATGACAGTTATTTTGCTGGTTCCCTCAATATCAGCACTCCTCAAGGGAGTAGAGCAATTGTACGGATTCAGGAGACTCATATACAAGATAATAATAGAGTAATTCCCATCTTAAATACTTAAATTGGACTCAGTGTAGCTCTGAAATCTATTATTTACATCGGAAAGGAACATGAAGGATAAAGTATAAATATAATTCGACTAGGCCATAAAACATTTTGAGCTTCCTTTTTTTTCCCGCCACTGAAGACTAAAAGCACAAAACTAAACATGCAGATATCTGATATCACTTGGTTGTGATAAATCTGCTAAGTTAGAATCTTTTTAAAAAGATTTCAAAATCTGCTAAGTTAGAATCTTTTTATAAAGCAGACCTGAGGCTTATAAAGGAAAAGGATACAGCAAAGTGGCATCTGCTGCTTTGCTCGTTTTATATAGATTTTGTAAGCACATTCAATATTTGCATAGCAGTGGGTATAGATTAATATTGTGAATCCGCTGACATCTAAATGTTAACTGTGGTCACTACATAATTTAGTAAATAATGTTATTGGCAAACGTGAATAAGCAGAAGGATCTGGGTAAATTCTTTGGATTATTAAAGAAAACTAGAGACAATTTGTGACATACCATGGGGGAAACCATGGCCTCCCACCAAAATGCAGGAATGGTCTATTAAATACAACATAACAAGGGGGACAGATTGCAGACCTGAGCCAGCACGAGAATTCTTATGCTTATGGAGTCCAGTTACTCTTAATATTATCCAGACATGATCCAAGTTATGACTAATGTGAAATCTAATGAGAACTTGGAGAAAATAGTTACTGTTCAAGGACCTAATTTAGATGCAAGCAATTATTAACATAACTCATCATTCCCTCAAAGGCATAAATCTTATTTTGGCTCATATTTAGATAAGTCAGTAGGTTTTGAGTTCATCTGTAACACATCATTTCATACACATAGATTTGTTGTCTTTTGAATATCTGAATGCTAATCGAATACTAAACAATACTAAGCTGTTACCTGATTTAGGGCTCTTATTTCCTTCTGTTCCACAGTTAAGATGTGAAAAAGGTCAGATGAAGGACTTTGGAGTCTCACTTTCTGAATCCCTGACTATTCAGTTAACTCGGTGACCTCAGAGAAGGGGTTTAGCTCACCTAACGCCATTTCCCGACTAGAAAATTTAGGATAATGGGGTAAAACCGTTGTTCGGGGAAGGAGGCAGGGAGGGGACTGAAAGTCTTCATTAATTGTTATTTAAAGAAATCTGGAAAGATTACATCTAAGTGACTGTGCAAATTGAAAAGCATAATTGCCAAGATACATGTACCCTCGAACAACAACAAGATGAAATGTTTAACCATAACAAGAACTTGCAACCTACCCTTTTGACAAAAACTATAATCTCTCAGGATTATTTTTTTTCTTTCCTTGCAAAGCACCAGATTCCCCAAAAGCTGTCAACAGAGAAAGACTGCAACCAAGCATGGCTATTTATATGTTTGTGTTCTGTGATTTCCCTTTCGGTGTCTTAGATAGAGTCAGCAGATGCGTGCCTCATTCTTGCCAACAAGTACTGCGCTGACCCTGATGCTGAAGATGCCTCCAACATAATGAGGTAACACCGGGGAGGCCAGGGAAGGCTCTGGACTTGGTGCTCTGCAGCCCACTGGCTGCCCTTTTGGGTTCTCTGCAGAGCACCATCTCTGTGGGAACTTCTTTCCCTCATAAGCCACCCTACACCTTGCCACAAGCATAGGTCCAGGGGGAGCTGAGGCCCTGGTGGCTGTGGAGGGCAGTGACACAAGGCATCATTGACAGGAAGGTTATCCTTGGCAGAGGGGAGACGTGGGGCTCACAACGGGTCTTGGGTTTGAGATGTTTCAGACAGGACTAGGAAAGATAGATTGAGATGGGTATAGGCCTGAAGTAAAGTACCATTTTCCCTAAGGGGGAGTGGACCTGAAATGACTTAACTGTGGGTGATTTTGTCCCCCAGAGGACATTTAGAAATATCTGGAGATGTTCTTGGTTGTCGTAATGAGGAGATGATGCTGTTCACATCCCAGAGGCCAGGGATGCTGTTCAACATCCTACAACGCACAGGACAGTTCCCCACAGCAAAGAATTACTGGGCCCCAAATGGCAATAGTGCCAAGCTTGAGAAGCTCCATGTTGGAACTTTCCGAGTGTGTCTGTAGTATGTTGATTAATATCCCCCACAAAGAGGAGTTGGTTGACTGATGAGTTTGTTTCTGCCAGTTTCCCAGAATGAAAGAGTGTCTTCACTGAAAGCCTTCTCAGTGCTTTTAATACTAAAATACTTTTCTAAGATAATGTTCTACAGAGAACTTATCGTACCTATTTGACTCCAACCCCTGCCCCCCCCTTTCTTTACAGAACATCTTTGGGTGGGCAGGGGCACACTCTGGAGAACACTGCCCAGGGCCCTCCCTGGAAACAGGCGAGGCACATGGAAGGCCATGACCTGGCCTGGCCTGACATGGCTGACCCCCACTCCTTATTTGTTCCTCATTTCAGAAGACCACTGTTCTGTGACAATGGAATGACAAAAAAGATATTTAGCTCCAGAGAGTTAAAGCCCCTTAGGATTCTTTTTTTCCCCTCCTGCATTGGAAGGGAATAATAAAGAGATGCTTCTGGAGAGAAGAGATGAACTAAGAGAAAACATTGCCCTCCCGCTACATTCCCAAGAACTCTTGCCTAATTGTGAGCAGTCATCCTTTGGTCTAGAAAGACCTCTCTCTCGGCGCAGCTTGGTTTGCTGTGGCCTGGGAATGTACCTGGGGTGAGGGTTTGGGAAGTTGCATCATCACGATGCTCCCACCTCCCTTCCTTTGCTTCTCATCAGTGGCCCCGAGTGACATGAGCTTTCCCGTCACTGAGGTGGTTGGGGGGGCATCCTCCGATGCCTCAGGGATGAGCACGTCTTTCCCTCAGCATCTGGTCCCTGTGTCTGGCAAGTGACATCTGGCGCAGTGTTCTCTTTCCTCCCGCTTTTCTTTGGCCATATGCTTTCATGCAGTTGTTTGAAGGAAGTTGATGCATGAACTCTTGTCCGCATGGGGCTTGCCAGCCTGCAGGGAGGTGGTGGAGTGGGGACGTGCGTCCACACCTGGGTCCACCCGCTAACTAGTCACAGCTGGAAAGTGACTACAACAGCTCAGCATCAGGAGTTTAGTGACCCCTTCCCTGAACTAGGATTTCCATGCTTTGCCCCGTTTTTGTGTCATTTGAAATGACAAAAATGTAGCCTTTAAGGAACTAGGCTCCCTGATCTTCAGATTTTCAGACATAAAAAACAAAAGAAGATAAAGTTGAATGTGTGGACCCCCAGAGAAGTCTGGGGCTAGTGCTATCTTTTTTTCCTTCCAAAAGTGAATAACTGAAATGAGTAATAGTTTGGAAATGGGCATTTCTCTTAATTGCAATATTTCATTTAAGCCCAGGCTGCGGTAGGGCTAATATGAAGACATGTAAGTTATCAGGGTGTTTGGCATGATGTCACCGCATAATAATTACAGGACAAAGGTAGCGTCAGAAATGTTGTGAAGCCATCCATTAACCAGAATCAGAACTAAGGCCCAGGCAGTGAAAGGAAACGGGAAGTTCAGGGTTAAAAATTGGGCTCTGTCTTTCCCGTATTTGTATAATCCTCCTTTCTCCTTAGTTTAATGAGACCAATCTGCCCCTTTTGAAATTAAAATGTCAAAGATCCATTTGAAATGAGCTAATGCAGAAAACCAGTGGAGGCTGTGAACTGAACTCTGAGGGCTGACCGAGACTCAAAGTCCTTGAGTTATAAGCAAGAGCCAACACAACACTTTTTCAAAAATAAAATGAATTCCTTAAAGTGCAAAAGCCCAGGGTGAATTTGTGCAGAAGAGGCTTCTGTGCAATCCATTTCCTAAATTCATAAGTTGCAGCTTTTCAGACAAAACTGCTCCCTGACTGCCTTCTCTCCATTTTTGCACAGAAAAAGGGATGAAGCATCCATACGGTTCTTGGGGCAAAGTTTGTGGGGGTGGTCCTAATAAATGCACTTGCATTTATGATTAGGCTTAGGAGGTGGGCCATTCTGTGGAATTCCATTCTTTAGCTTTCCTTGTCACAGAAGGAAATGTGCAATGTCACCTCTGACAGAGTCGGTAATGACAAAAACCATAACTTACATGTGGAGAGAGCTTTTAATGATTTCAAAGCATTTCCACATCTGGTCTTTCATTTGCTGCTCATACCAAAGCCTGTGAAATAAATAAAGCAGGTACCATTGCCCCCAATGTCCAGATGAGGAAACAGTCACAAAGAGCCCAGGGATTTCCTGAAGGTCACCCAGTTCCTTGGTACAAAATGGGACTGGAATCCAGGTGTTTCTATTCCTCCACTTATAGCCCAGTGACTGTCTCAGGGAGCAGAAGCAAGGGGTGGGGTGGGGTGTGGGAGGGCAGTGGTTCACAGGGAGTATAGACTGAGGGCCATTTCCCAGGGTGTTGGGTTGGGGGGAGAGTGGAATTTTCTACCAGACTGTGGCCCCTGCCAGGCCTCGGTTTTTATTTCCAACCCCCATTAAAGTCATCATTTAGACACTATTATCTATTGAAGGCTGAGTCATTGATCCCATCATAAGAGCCCTGCTCAGAAATAATTTCTGTGAGTGGCCATGTGTGTGTGACAATTAGTATCGTTTGTCAAGCTACTTGTTTGATTTGTCATTGTTGTCTCAAGTTGTTCACTTGGAGAATTGGACTCAGGGCAAATCGTTTCTAGGCTCGTCCCTAGGGTATGTGAGACTGCAAACCTCCCTCGGCGAAGCTTGCCTTATTTACATGTCTATGTAGGCCCTAAGCCGGTGACCCCTGCTCAGGAGCTCCCACCCCTGTCCACGCGGGTTCACACCAAGGCACCACAGGACTGCTCTCTTCTCTGCCCAGGGCACAGTCTGTGGCCGTTCTGTTGATTTCTTTTTCACGCCAGGGGGTACAGTGACGAACACAAGTTTAACTTGGTCCTGTGCCCGCAAGCCCTCTTGAGGGGCCTAGCTGCTGGTCCCACATTCACTCTGTTTGGGTGCAAATTCATGTTCCCATCAGATGCCAAGAGTAAGGCAGACCCTGCCTCAGCTTTGGCTCTTTCTTTTTCAGAGTAATCTCCATAAAGAACTACCATCCGAAGATAAGAATCATTACTCAGATGCTGCAGTATCACAACAAGGTAGGACAGCGAGAGCCCGAGCCTGTCCCAGGCTCAGAGATGCACAAGTGGACCCGGTCTCTTTCCTCTCATTGTACAGCTGCACGTGCACACACATGCCCCCACACACATGCACATGCGCACACATACATGCATGTGCACACACATGCCCCCACATGCATGCACACACCCACACATGCACGCACGTGCACACACGCCCCCACATACACGTGCACACACACATATGCATGTGCACACACACACACGCCCCCCACCCGCATGCGCACACCCACACCCACATACATGCACGTGCACACACATGCCCCCACATGCATGTGCACACACATGCCCCCGCACACACACGCCCCACATGCACGCGCACACACGTATACATATGCATGTGCACACACACGCATGTGCACACACATGCCCCTCCACACACGCGTGTGCACACACACCCATACACAGTGCACACACACATGCACACCCCCACACACATACACACACACATGTGCTGCTGTAATCCAAAGGCCTGGACAAGGGGGTGCTGGGTAAAAACCTCCCCGGGGCCTCACTTCAGAGCAAACACGTTGTTTACCGCTGGTCACCAGAAGGAAGCATCCGTTGGACCCCCAGGGTCCAAATATCGATGTAATCTTAGATCCCATTTCAACAACGTCCCATTTTTATGTGCTCCACTCACTTCTTCAGTCAGTATCTCCTGACTCCCTGCTATGTGGTCAGCACGCTACCTGACCTCCCTAACCCCCCACGGGTATAAGTGAAGGAGTCCTGCCTTGTGCCCTTGGGACGTGGCAGTCCAGGGGTAGAGAGTGTCCCAGGCAAGCCGGGGGGAGGGGGTAGGAGTGGGGAGAATGCGGAACAAGGCATTCTCAAATTCAAGAGGAGAACTGGCTTCGTTGAATTCAGGAGAAAAGTTGCTCTCCAGAGATAAAAACATAAAGGAATTTTCCTCATGTTCTAGTTTACAAGGGGATTGGAAAGAAAACAAATGTTGGAGTCTGTGTTGTTTCCCTTGTGATTACTTCTCAGTCTCTCATTCAGAGGCACTGCTCCTTTACTCGGCCTGTCACCGAACTCCAGGGAAACAGCTTTGGGGGAGGGAAGGTGGCACCTTTCTCTGTTTGATATGGAACCAGTTATTCCCCGTAATGAGGCTCGGAGAAACTGGAGGCTGCTCAGTACCTGGAACCAGGTGTCCTGTCTGAACACAATAACTCCCCGCTGGGTTGTGAGTGAGTGTGTGTCCCATTTTATAGGCCATATTCCCTACGAAATAGGCAGTCAGGTGACCCAGAGAAGACCCTATTCTGCCAAATGCACCAGTGCCATGTCATTATTTCTTAATTGCTGGCAAGTGCTGCCCCATTTTGCTGTGTGGAGGCCCATCAGAGGCCATTGTGGAGTGGGGCCTGCTGTCGGCGACTGGCCTACCACTAGGGTCTGCTGCCCACTGCCCAGCCCTTGGCAGGTGGTTCCACTGCAGAACGGGTTGCACTCCAGCCAGTGGGCGTGGTGGTGGGCACCCAATGGTCCTGTTTGTCTCTGGAAAACCCAAGGACATGGGAGAGATAAAGTGAGGATATCGGGGGACTTACAAGCATAGGTCTGGAGAAGTTTCTTGACAGCAGTCCCTGTAGGTGGAGGTGAATTTTATTAGCAAGGCTGTGGCTGGTGACAGCTCCTCAGGCAATAAACTCTTCTTTCATTTATGATTTGAAATTTCATTTAGTGTGAGAGTGCTTTAAGCTGTTTAGGTTTTTGGCTGAATTTAGATTGAGTAGGGAAATTAATGTTGTATGTTTAGAAAGGGCTGTCAGTTCCTTTTTCTCCCCCTTCCAATGAGTACTGATGCCACATCTTCAAGAAATTCAGGAGGGTTTCAGCTGTGATTTCTGTCAAACTCCAAGTAGCTCAGTGGACCTAGGATCTGGATGGAACCTGGTCAGTACTCACACGACCATAACAAGCTGAATGTCTTTAACAAACCTTTTCATGGTAATTATTCAGGAACAATGATGAAGGCCTCAACCGACCCATGACTATTTGCTGAAAACACATTTTTGCTTAGAACCACCCCAATATTTTGGGGTTTCAGAGTCAGGCAAAACCAGGTGTGAGACTTTGCCCCTGTCAGATGAGTAAGGGTACGAGGGATGGAGTGACTTGGGCACATTTTTCTCGATCATTTTATTTCTCTCTTCTAGAGGGAACAAAAAGTCCACTGGTCATTGTCATCTCATTCCTCATGGAATTGCAAATGGACACTTGTCACCCTGCTTTATAATTGTGCTATTTCGTGAGATGCTCCCACCTTCTCTTTAATCTGTTTTTCTTCCCCTTGCCTTACAATATTCTTTTTCTTCCTCTCTCTGTACTTTCTCTTCACCCATGACTAAATGTCCAGAGATCTCCACCCATTAAAACTTGCTTTCTTGAAAGAACCTGGTATGTGTGTGTAAACTTATGTTATAGTCAACATACTTCAAGTGACAGTTAATTCCATAATTGGATACGAGACTTAAAATACAAAGAATTTCAATTCCCTGTGCTCTAATGATGCTGTTATTCCAGGGCCTAGAGGGATATAGGCAAGCTGCCTACTTTCTCTCCATGTAAAACCGGTCCTGAGTTTGTCATCATAGTAATCTCAGACATTTGTGGCATATTTTATGGTTTTAAAAGAGCTTGACATCCATTATCACGTTTAATCCATTTGACCATCTGTGCATGCTAGCATCCCAGTGTGACTTCAGACTGGGAGTCTACGTGCTCTCAGAGCAGCTCTGGTGTGTACAACTAACTCGTGGTCACTTGGCAGGCAGTGAGCTAAGGACAGAACGGCCAACTGTCACTTTCTCTTTAAATAGAGCCACACCCCACTGAGCCAAACTGTGGTTTCTCACAGTAGGCCTTCTAGAAGGACTGGTGTTCTCTAAAGTGGATCTGATTTTATGGAGAGAAACACTCAGCCCAGCCATCTCTGAACACTGAAAGAAAATGGTACAGGGCACTCATTTTTGATTTGAGTGTAAATGTCTTGAAGCTTTTCAAGGAAAGAACAGTTTGTATCTTAAAACAGTGTCACTTCTGATGACTTAACTATTCATGGATTTTTTATTTTCCAAACAGATTCTAGAAAAAGAGGTCTTTGTTTGGGACCTGGAAGCCAAGTCCCAGTGGCCCAATGGTAATGCAAGTTCTTTGAGCTTTCTCACTAAAAATCCTCACACACTTGGGCAGTAGTATTAAAGTGTTTTCTCTGAAATGAACTTTGTTCCTTATGCTGGGTTCCTCAAAGTTATATGTATAGAGAGGGCGGGAACTGGGACTGGAATTGACCTCTCCCGGTTTCCCAGGAGAGTGTATTTTCACATTCCTTCTTCTTGAGATGAGGAGTGGTCCAGTGGCTGATCAAAGGGAGACCCTGGTCCTGCTACACCAGCTTTATCAGGCCTCATTCTCCAGATCCACGATTTGCCTCTAGACTCCTGTGCAGTGAGGCTGGCATTTTCCACTGGACCCAAATGTCCCTCAAATGAAGGACAGAGTTGCCAGAAACAGATGATTTGAGTTCCTGATGAAATTTCCTCTCTTTATTTCATGCACACATGAATTTGTGAATTTATGATGTTCCTCCTAGCCTTTGGTACATCCCTCCCTGCTCCCTGCCCCACAGTTGGTGAAGATATGATGGCCCATAAGAGGAGGCCATATGGAAGCCTGAGAAATGAAACAAACTTGACTTTCCCACATAATAACATGTAAAATATGTCTAAGGAACTCAAACCAGATGGGAACATGGGGGACCCGAGGCCCAAAAGCCTGGACTTCATACCTTCAAAAACCTGGCACATGGGGATATGAGAGATTCTCTGGAGAAGGCTTTGTTTGTTTGCTTGCTTGCTTGAAAGTACCATGAAGGTTATGTGACCTTCAAATCTCCTTTCACACTCAGTGATTTACTTGTTCATTACTTAGATCTCATTTCTCCTTATCCTTCGCAGATGATATAAAGGCAAATGAGTATCTCTCCACTGAGACTGGTGTATTCTCTGCGGTGCCAGTAAAGGAGGAAGGTGGCCTTTGTGAGCCGGTGAAGAGTAGGGAGAGAAACAGGGTAAAGGGCAAAGCCATCCGCTGGAATCAAGCCTATGATGTGAGAAGGTCTCTGATACTCAGCTTGACAGAAATTACCACCCACGATGGCCCACGCACCAAACTTTTTAACCATGCTCTCGTTAGGGAGGACACAGTCTTCTCTCCCAGGAGTCACTGCTGGCTTAGGACCTGTGAGACTGTCACAGGACTTTGAGGAAGGGATTTCACAAGAGTGGTATTTCTGCAAGCAGAGGAAGGAGCCATTGGACTTGTTCTTTGTTTCCATAAGGGCATCTTCCATCTCTTCTAGTAGGTACAACTGTAGTGTGTTGTCCTGACAGTGAAGGGAAGCCTTCTGGGTGCTCCTGGTGCTTGCTGGTATCTGGAGAGAAACAGTCATTTCGGGGCCATAAAGTCTTGGCGTCCGCGGTCGCCTAGCACGTCTCTCCGATTCAACCACAAATGCAAAGCAAGTGGTCTTTCTGTTATGACCTGGGAAAACACTTACTGAGTTTTTGGGACAAAGACCTTGCATTTTGGGAGGTAGCTTTCTCCATTTATTAGACAAATTACATCCTTAGAAAGTTCCTTTATAAAACAAGCCAAAAAACTCTTTCTTGTAACGTGTACCAGTCAGTCCTAATTCTGGCCCCTGGAACAAAGCAAGACAATCCCTCTTCAGCACCTGAGGTATTCAGAGGTTGTCACCATCCCGTCTCTGTGAGGCTGTGGCCCTTCTTCAGGCCAAACACTGCTGGCTCTCTTAACTGTTTCTCTAAAGATGTTTTCCAGAACCCCCATCTCTCCTTGTGCTTGTCATTTTTCTCTGGAAGTTATGCAATTTATCAGTTTCCCTCTTTAAATCTGACTGTTACAACTGGATCAAGTACCCTGGAACTAGCCTGACCAGTTCACAACAGAATTGAAACATTCATTTCCCTTGATCTGGAGACCATTTCTAACAAGCAAGCATTGGCTTTCTCTGTAATCTGTCACACGGTTGGCCTCTTTTTGGGATTTGAGTTACCCACACACTTAAGTATTTTTTTTCTTCTTTCCCCTCAGCTCTACTGCCAAGTTAGGTCTTCTCATTTTGAATTTATACAATTGGTTTTTTTTTTTTGGAACCTAAATGCTGTGCTTGACATTAAGGCCTTTAAAATCTTTCCTGGTTGGTTTTCTGCCCATTTTTTTTAACCCTGGAGAAGTTTTTGAATCTTGATTCCTTCATCCAACATATGATCTCTGACTCTCTGCTTCATGCCACTTAAAACTAATTGGATGAGCATGTCTGGGTCCTTATCTTGGGGTGTGACCTAACTGTTGAATAGGATCAGTCCATCTGAAAGATGTTGTAATATGTCTACACTGTGATTTGCCTGACGATTTAGGTCAGTGCTTCTCAAAGTGTGTTCCCCGGATCAGCAGCTAAGCAGCAGCACCTCGAACTTATTAGAAATGCGAATTCTCCAGCCTCGCCCCGCACCCTACTAGATCAGAAACTCTGAAGGAGGGGCTGGCAATATGTCTATCAACCCACCAGGTGATTCTGAGGCCCACTCAGACTTGGGGGCCACTGACGTGGAGTTTCGGGGATGCAAATGAAAAAGGATTCTAAAACACACGGGCATCTGATAGTCTTGAGTCTGTTTGGGGAGCCAATTTATGAACAACCTAGCCAGACATCCTAGTAGCATGGGCCGATGTGTCTGTCACAAGAGGAGATTCCCTGTGGACTCTGTTTGGCTACGTGACAAACCCGAGGGGAAGACCTGGGTTTGGGAGGCGCAGAAGCAATGTTCTGGAGAGACCACGGAAGACTGAAGTCTGCTGAATAGGAGAGTCGAATGAAACAGCAAACAGCAGCCTCGGGAGAGAGAAAGAAAGGATGAGCCTGAATGCCTCCGAGCAGTTGGGCAATGCTGCATTTCCCAGAGGAGATTTTCAACAATTGAACATTTAGCAACCTAAGGTCTCATACCTTGCTTTTGCTTCCACAGGCCCATCTGCTAAACATCCCAAGCTGGAATTGGAAAGAGGGGGATGATGCAATCTGCCTCGCAGAGCTGAAGCTGGGGTTCATAGCCCAGAGCTGCCTGGCTCAAGGCCTCTCCACCATGCTCGCCAACCTCTTCTCCATGAGGTCATTCATAAAGGTAACGTCTTGTTCTATTAGAGCCCATTAGCCCCGGATTCAGTTTGTCGTGGGGTTGAGTAGAGAGCATAGCTTAAACTCAAAACAGATCGACGGGCTTTAGCCACTTTGGTTAAGGAGAAATTCCTTGTTACAGATTTGGGCACGAGGCCAACTTCTCTCAAAATTATGTTTTTATTTTTATTTGGCACATCCATGGCCATTAAATGATTGTTCAAAGCACAATCCTCTTTTTTTTTTTTTAGATAAACCACATGTTTATCTATCAACAAAGCCTCCGCTGTTAAAACAAAAATATGATTTATATACATTCCATATGGCACCAGAGCGCCTAAAGAAAAGAATTATCATTTTGCTTTTTTACATCAAGTGGCTGGTGGACCTCTCACTGTGTGGATAAATGCAGACCATGTGTTTGTGCTGAAGCCCAAACCCCAACAACATAATTCATTTATTTATTTCTGCACAATCAAGGAGGCCAGCAGGGCTGACATGCCATGGTTATTTGAATGGAGAGTGAAACGAGGGACCGAACCCTCGGCAGCGGCGCCCTGTACGCCGTGAGACAGGCGGTCTGGCTCTGCTCGCCTCCTCATCAGCCGGCTCACCCCACAGAGCTGACTGGGCAGCCACCCCTGTGTCTCCAGAGTGTCCCCTGCCTGCTGGACCAACCCAGGCAATGAAAGACCCAACTCTGTCCTCACAGGCCAGGCCGGGACAGTGGCCAGCCCAGGCCAGGCCCGTTTCTGGGACATTGGGTTGAGGGCCCAGGCACCCTCCTAAGAGGGCTTTTGGAGCACATTGAGTAATGATAACACCAGTCCTCATCCTTGGATTGTGTTTAGCCTAGACCGTCAAGGAGGCAGACCAGGACAGTAAAACCTGCCCAGTTTGGGCCTTTCTGACTTGGCACTGATGGCCGTTAGCTCAGGATTTGGACTTCCATTTCCCCTTCCTGCATGAGTAGAGATGGAGGTGGGAAATTTGGAGTTTCCAGGAGGTCCCACGAAGGGGGCTAGAAGCGCTGCAATCCAAGGTGCGAGACCTCCAGCCCTTGGCTACCATTACCACTGTATGTGGCACCGGGGGTCAGTTGTCTGGGGCAGTCGTGGCGATGGCCCTGGAGGCAGTGGGAAGGCTGGGTGGGAAGAGTGTGGCTGCAGGTGATGGACCGACTCCATGCGCATGCTCACCCTGGGCATCCCCAGCTATGTGATTAGAGCAGGGCTTTTCTCTCGGTCCTTAACCCCCTGTACCCACCTAATTTACAGTACTTAGGCAATTCATAGATAATAATCCTTTATGTAAAAGGACAAATTGTTTTGGAGTCCCTTCCATCACTTTAGCAAAGGATGCCTTGATCAAAAAATTCCTTCAGCTCACTATGTACCCAAAGACCTCAACGCCACAGAACTCCAGGCTCAGACCCAGCTCACAAATAAGGACATTGCGTGTTTTTTTGGGTTTTTTTTTTTAATGGCTTCTTTAATCCAGGCTGCTGTTCCCCCGCCTGGATGAAACTGAATGCAGGCAAAATGGAGTTGGGGGGGGGGGGGGGTGGTCTGTGTGGCAGGACTGAGAGGCATGCCCCAAAGCCAGATGTAGCCTTGTGTCTCCCACGGCTGTGTTCAACACAAGGAACCCAGACCCCAGGATAAAGGACTGTCACCAAGAGAGCTCTTCTGGCTCATTCAACCAAGCTCTGGGGGTTTCCTCCAGCAGGGAGTTATCCACAGGCCCAGGCACAGGGTCTGAGACCTGGGCTCTGCTTCCTTGTGTTGATGTAACACGGTCTTGGCAGGGCCCTACCGCACATGGGGCACTTGACATGCGTATGTTTTGATTTTGTGGTGCCTGTGTGGAAACGAGAGCTGCCTGTCAGGAAAATTAATAAAATGGATGTGACGCTGATTCCTCAGTGTTATTACCGGCAGGGAGAAAGAACTTCTGTCCAACTTTGCTCAAGACCCCAGAGGGCCTCACCTCTGGAGCCAAGGACGTCCCCTTCAGCCCAACGAATCCCACTGCCAAGTTCCTATTTAGGAAGAGCCTGTGGAAGAGGCCTGGCCGGGGCCCTGGTGTAACTGAAAACACATTTCCCTTCTAGGGTTATGTTACTGTGTTATTTCTGCCCAGGGCTGGCTCCTCCGTGTTCAGAGGTAGCTCTCTGCACATGGCCTCTTGACATTTAGGTGGTCTTTGTGTTGGAATTTGCTAAGGCACGTGACCTGGAAATAGCAAGATTTCCCTGTATCTATTGTTCTCATTTAAAATGAGGACAGCTTGAAAGCATGTGTTTCCCATTTGGCGGCGTCATCCTGGTGCACTGACCCTCCAGATCCCCGATCCTTGTCTCCTTCAGGTCATAATAAACACCCTGATGATGCTCTCCTCGGCGTGTTTTATATATTATCTCCCATTCCAGAGGTCACAGAGCCTTCACTTATTTTTATTGGTTGGGGGGCAGACGGAAAAGGGAATCTAGAAATGGATGATTGTTGACAGAAATTGCTTCCTTCCCCAGTGTCCCCCATGTCCTCTGGCAGAGAACTCATTAGCACTTCCACAGGGACAGGTGGGCCTTGAGGATGGAGGGAGGTGGGATGAGGCTTTGGCACATTTCATCCCTTGAGAACGTTTAGCGTTTCTGGAAGCCAGAGGTGGCGTGTGAGCTCAGCCTGTCCATTGCCCTGGGCAGGTACAGCGTGTGTTTCTTGGTTCTGCAGAATACATTGTACTCTGTATATATATCACAGGCAGAAGCACAGTGGCTGCCCACCAGGCCTTTAGTGTCCATGAGACCAAAAGCCAAGGCTGAAAGTGAGGATAACAAAACTCAGCAAGAGAGAGGGGCTCCTGCTATGCAGGGGTTCCAAGATACCCAGCCCAATGGTACCAGGAAAATATGGGGACCACTTGTGTATCCCCTGGGCAATATTACTTTCAAAGTCCCTTACCCTCGGGCCTCATTGCTCTCCTGAAAGCCTAGCTCCTATGTTGGCTGTGTCACCTCTGAATTGTTCTAAACTTCTGGAGCATCTATATTTTTAGCCCACATCTTTGGGGGTAACGAATTCAAGTGTGCTAACTACTGTTAAAGACTTTTGCCTGGCTATTTGTCTTTAATTTGTTCCACTTAACCTTCACGGCATGCCCTCTGCAATTTCTGGTGCGCTGGGATTTAACAAATCCATGCTAACCTGATAGCCAATAACTTCATGAAAGAGGCACAGGTTGGCCACTCAGGGGTCCTCGGACCCCTCAGCTTATTGTTAATGGTAGGCTAAGCATTTTCTCCAGCAGGACCCAGTTTTTGCGCTGAATTTTCCTCTAAGGAGAGGGTGATTGTCCTGGTTCCTGTGACGTGTCTACATCTACACTGTCAACCAGGTCTGGAACACCCTGTGTATTTACCACTATCTGATCTCCTATTACCCGCTTGTCAGGTTCAAGTGAGAATCTTCCTGAGGTCTTCTGTAAAGACCAAGACCATGAACTTATTTATTTAGCCTATCTGCCATTGTCTCGCCCCTGAGTCCCTGAATAAGTGGCCACACTTATCCTTCACTTGGCTTCCTCCCTTGGATGTATTTTAAGATCCATTGATGTTTTTTTTTTTTCCTCTTGGTTTTAGAGTTTTAGCATGTAATACTTAAATTTCTCTGCAGCATATGTGGTTTCAAGTTGGGGCTTGACCTGCCGTCTTTGTGAATTGTGCTATTATTCTTACTAGGATTAGCTGTCCTTGGACATGATAAATTGTGTGTGTGGGTGTTGTGTATAATTTAGAGAGTGATTAACTCTTAACATTTCTTTTCAGTCTGTACTGAGTCTTCAAAATTTAGCAGATTTAAATTATTCTCAGGGGATCCTGGGTGGCTCAGTCGTTAAGCGTCTGCCTTTGGCTCAGGTCATGATCCCAGAGTCCTGGGATCGAGTCCCGCATCGGGCTCCCTGCTCAGCGGGGATCCAGCTTCTCCCTCTGCCTGTCTCTCTCTCTCTCACGAATAAATAAATAAAATCTTTAAAAAAATAAATTATTCTCAGGATTGCCGACTATTTTAACTCAGCTAAGCTACCATTTATGTGTGTGTGTATGCATGCACACGCACACACACATCCTAGAACATGGCAAGTACTCGGTACTTATTTCTTGTGGGTGAAATGTTACTTGATATCGATCACAACATGGTCTTCTCTGTTACCTTTTCTATTTCTGAATGAGGAAGCCATAGGAAAATCAGGTCCGTGTTATTCAGAGTGTATCTTGGCTGAGGTGGACTTTGCTGGACATGAAGACCATTATTGATATTACCGCATTAAGATAAACTTTCAACAATACATAGTCCTAGCACTACTCATAGGCAAGGGAATCATTTTAATACCTTTTTTTTGGGTTATGTTTATGTGCATCTGTGTGTTTTTTATATGCATGTATAAAAACAATATGGTTTAGGAGCTGGAAATATAAATCAGGACCCTAATAACAGCTGAACTATCCTGGGTTCTAACTCTGTGCCAAGTCCTGTGCTAAGTGCTTTATAGACATCAGTCATTTAATTCGCACAGTGACTGTACCCACCACTGGCACTATTACTATACCCACTTTCCAGTGGCAGATACTATGTGTTATGAGAAGTACAGCAACCTGCATGAGGACAAAATGCCTGGAATTAACAAACTCACGTGTCAAACCAAGCAAACTGGTTCCAGGCCTTTGAGTACACCAGGAGGAAATATGGTAGAGTCACCTGGGTGGCTCTGTTGGTTAAATGTCTGCCTTCGGCTCGGGTCATGCTCCTAGGGTCCTAGTATTGAGCCCCACATTGGGATTCTTGCTTATGGAGTCTGCTTCTCCCTCTTCCTCTGCCCCTGCTCATTCTCTTTCTGGCTCTCTCTCTCCCAAATAAATAAATAAAATATTTTTAAAAAGAGGAAATATGGTAAATGGTAAGGGGGAACCTTAGCTAGCGCCAGAATCTTAGCTTTCTGTAGTTAGAC